TTAGGCTTTAGGGTTTAGGCTTACTATCAGCGTCCCCCCAGCCACAAAAATCTTCAAGCCTTTACCACAGGTTGACTTTTCACAAGCAATGGAACCTCAAGTAGAGAAGCCCAAAAGGCGCAACATGTATTTCGTAGCCTGGATGTTACCGAGTGTGTTTAGAGTTTTGGGTTGTTGCTTCATTGTCAAAACTGAATTCTGGCAGCTGAGCATAGATACAGTCAGTCGCTGATAGGCAACATCAGGACCATAGCTAGAATAGAAGATTAAAGAACCCTAAACCATGCTGGTCACCCCACGCAGCCTTTGAGTTGTACATTTTCGTCGGGGCCGCTGTTACAACATACTTGCTGGTCAGCGCGCGAAAAGCTTGATAAGAAATGATCTTTCGGACTCTTTTTGGTGTTCAGGTATTGGAAAAACCAAGTAAAAAATTCAGCAGCGCCCCAGAAAATTGAAAACAAGAGTCATGGGTCCAACCGACGTTCGGTACCCTCTTACACAAATATGAGACTTCTGGAAACGGGGAAATGATTTGATGGTGCTTCTTGGAGCACCGGGGCCGCAGAGAAGGCGGCCCACGATGAGAACTTCTGCCTTTCCAGCTCCCGCCAGAGCCACAAAGAAACTCCGCGCAAAAAGGTTCTGGTAGTAGCATAGATCACCAAGGACGGATGTACCCTATATGGGCTAAAGTAAAAACTCCTAGTATCCTCCTTAATAGCCCCTACAATATCCCGTACATAATCCCCTTTAAGAAAATTAGACTATAACTCATATCATCCCTCCAAACCGGTTGCGATATACTGCTGCAAGGTATCATGACAGTGCAGTGGCCAAATCCAGACACTTAATTCAACTTACTACATGGGAAGATCTTATCCAAGGATAAATCGATCACAGACAAATTTTGGCTACTACCAACTCTGATCACTACAGCCAAAAACGCTAATTCCTAAACGCCACGTCCCAAGCCTCATATAATTAATCTGATTACAATAATGTCTAGCAAAATATGTCCAAAAGTCCCATTGTACTTATTTTGGTCCCTGCATCAGAGGGATGGTGTTGAAAAGCTCCCAAGTCAAAAGGCCTCAGGGTCCGCACTATCCTTCTCATCCAACTTTTTCTTCAGTTCCTGCCAAGGGTGTAGGATTTATGGTTTAGGATTTAGGGCTTAAAGTGAAAAATGCGGAATGTTGAAGTGCATGCCTTACTTGGACGGTCAGGAGGGCTAAGTGTACGTAGGTTAATAATTAGCCTTAAACCGAATTCAGAGTCCTAGTATAATATGAAGTATATTCCTTAATTAAGCATTGGCCTCTGAGGGGTATACGTCATTCGGGTCCATGGTAATTACCTGGTTTGACGGGGGCTTCCTGGATGCTTAGGTTTAGGGTTCCACTTGATGAACCATTCATTGTTGGGGTAGTGTCCCTATGTATTCCAATGTACCCCTTAAAGGGACCTAGGGTGTCCATAGCAGTTATCACTGTCTTTCCCATTCGATTCTCCATGAAGTGGTCCGACTTGACAGCGACTGGGGCTTTGATGTCGAAGGCTTACTGCTTTTCATGGCAGTAGCCTCTACGGAAGAGGTATAGGGGGCAATAATGCTTCTAGGTCGGGGGTTCAGGCTTTAAGGTTCTACGTTTAAAGCTACGTTTAGGGTTCAAGGTTTCGAGCGAACGCAAGCTGGAAGCCTGAACTGTACCTCTCAACGCCCTTGCTGGAGCAACATTTCTCCAAACTAGACTAGTTGCGTTGGGCATTAACAAGTTTGAAGGTATAGTCCCCTTAAGTAGATAGAATACGGCCTTGGGTATAATGATCCCCGTATACCCCATATTCTATCTACTCAAGGGGGACCATATCACTTATGCAGACTTGTGACTACCTTGGCAGGAGCCCTCGAAGTCGCCACCCCTCTGCGCACAATGCAAAGTGGTAATTGTTCCTGTTATTACTACCCTCCACAAATATCGCGGCACCACCCCCCCCCGATAAAAACATATCCCCCTAATAGAACATCCTAATACATTGGTGGTGTTCATTGTGAGGGGGTGGGGGAGGTGTAGTCGCTCTCCTGTAACTCTAAGAAGGACGACTCAATATGTGGCGTCTAGGGTCTAGGGACCGCTTGTCCAAGGGAGGGGACGATAATCTTGTCAAACCCTGTGCGCAGAGACGTTCTTATGCAACTGACAATGCCTGGCAGCAGCGGCACCCTAAACACTAAACCCTCCACCGGCCCTAAAACCATTCCTAGTAAGGTCAAAGGTTCATGCAACTTAATGGGACAAAATATTCCTACCAATTTCCTCTGGCTATTAGTGCACCTTACAGTATCTGGTAACCAGAAAAGGCTGACAAACTTCATGTCGCGGTGCGCATTGGCATGGGGAATGAGGTGCAGAAACCCTACTGCTACACCCTAGACTTGAAACTCTAGAGCCCAAACCCAGAAGCCTAAACCCAGAACCCGAAACCCTATACAATCCCTGCAAAAGCCTTGTATCATCCCTATGTAAACCCTATGTAGTCCATGTAATCCCTATATAATCCCTATATAATCCTTACGTAACCCCTATGCAATGCCGGGACCCATGGCCTTCAGCTGCTGAATATTTGCCCGGAACTCCTCGATATCCCAGCCGATTACAACCTGGGAGAGGACGACCCCATGGATTTTAGGTGTTAGGGGTTCAGGGTTTATAGGATTTAGTGTTTGGGGTTTAGGCTTTATAGGATTTAGTGTTTGGGGTGTAGGGGTCATAGGATTTAGTGTTTGGGGCTTAGGGTTTATAGGATTTAGTGTTTGGGGTTTGGGGTTTACAGGATTTAGTGTTTGGGGTTTAGGGTTTACAGGATTTAGTGTTTGGGGTTTAGGGTTTATAGGATTTACTGCTTGGGGTTTAGGGTTTACAGGATTTAGTGTTTGGGGTTTAGGGTTTATAGGATTTAGTGTTTGGGGTTTAGGGTTTACAGGGTTTAGTGTTTGGGGTTTAGGGTTCATAGGATTTAGTGTTTGGGGTTTAGGGTTAGCAGGATGTAGTGTTTGGGGTTTAGGGTTTATAGGATTTAGTGTTTGGGGTTTAGGGTTCATAGGATTTATTGTTTGGGTTTGGGGTTTACAGGATTTAGTGTTTGGGGTTTAGGGTTTATAGGATTTACTGCTTGGGGTTTAGGGTTTACAGGATTTAGTGTTTGGGTTTGGGGTTTACAGGATTTAGTCTTTGGGGTTTAGGGTTTACAGGATTTAGTCTTTGGGGTTTAGGGTTTATAGGATTTAGTGTTTGGGGTTTAGGTTTTATAGGATTTAGTGTTTGGGAATTAGGGTTTATAGGATTTAGTGTTTGGGGTTTAGGGTTTATAGGATTTAGTGTTTGGGGCTTTGGGTGTATGGGATTGAGTGTGTGGGGCTTAGGGTTGATACATCGCAGGAATCTGCTACGGGGCTTGTACAGGGCTATGTAGGGATAATGGAAAAGAAAATGGAAGCTACTATTCAGGTTTTAGGGTTTATAAGGTTATATAGGCGTTTTACCCTCCAACGATGGAGAGTCAAATGCAACAGAAAATAGAAATGAAATGGAAATTAGGGTTATGTAGGGGTTTCAAGGTATCAGGCTGTCCCAATACATCCCAGGATCAAGAGATAAATGGACATAGACATGCGTAGGTGAGTACATTCATACAGGCCAAATTCAGGGGTTTTTCTTCGAGCAAGCGGGGCAGATTGTGGTTTAGGAACACGAGATGTTTTGCTCCAATGATCTGGCTCGCAGTGCTACAGAGCTTTGTGTGAAAGGATTCCGGGCCTAAGGGTCTAGGGTTTAGGTCGCTAGGTTTTGCAATTTCAGAACAGTAGCAATAACATCAGATGGCCCCCCTAACACACTGAAGGGCCATGACTTAATCCGTTCCCAAACATTACACCCCCCCCCCCCTCCCAAATATCAAATACAGGTTCCCCAGAATTCCAAAACCTGAAAACTGCCAAAAACAGCCACCACTAACGTTACTTAGGGCTCGGATCCTGTGAATTAGTGTGGGTCCATAGCATGACTCTTAAGGATTGGGGATCTCCTGGATATAATCCCCTATATAACATATAACCCCCTTCAAGGAGTTTGGACTATAGCTCGCGTAGGGATCATACTACGGACTGCTTTGGCAAAAACAGCCAGCTTTGGACCATGCGAAGACAGCTGATGATCAGGCATTGTATCTCAAAGCAGCTATCAATTGTCCATTTACATGTTTGAAGCGTGCCTTTTGGGGGCCCCATTGTTCTTGAAGCTCTTCTTGAGAACGTGATGTAGGGCTTAAGTTTTCAGGGTTAGGAATTAGGGTTTAGGATTTAGGTTTAAGAGCCTTCACGATCTCCGTGTCTGTCTTTCCCTTCACGGCATGCTCTTTGAAGAACTCCATGATCGCCTCCTAGCAAAGGTGATGGTATGAGACCACGTTTGAGCTGTGCGGGCTATGCAGGGGCATATAGTTAAATAATTGGGGAGTTTAATACAGGAGTAATACGAGGTTTAGGTTTGAGGGCCTAGGCTTTCTTGCAATTACAGACCCCTTAATTTCCATCATATTTCATGATTTCCTATATTGTCCCAATATTACCTCCCATGGTTTCCATTTTCTTTTCCATTATCCCAATATCACCCCTATATGACCCCAATATACACCCCTACAAGGGGTCTCTGGAACATAGATTCTCCTTAGGTCTGGCCGCCTCTCACAAATAGTAACTGCAAAACATGCGGTTTAGGGTTTAGGGATAATGGTTTACAAATGGATCCCTGTACATTCCTACAGTAGCACTATTACTGGGTGGGGGAACCAATCCAAGACCCTACTGCTTGAATGGGTTGACCAGGAAGTTTTAGATTGAGGCTTTAGTTGTAAAGTCTCTTTAGGGCTGGAGGATTATTGAATGCTCCGTATTCGGATATAGCAGCATAGCAACCCGCAAGTGTGACTGTACATGTCGTACTGGGCTTGTCGAAGAAAACACAAGAACTGTGTTCAACAATAACCCTGTACTAAGTAAAAGAAAATCTGGTGTAAGAACTCAGGCAAGTTGGGTTCAAGCATTGAAGAGCTTGCTTTGTCCAAGACATGGGGCCCAAGACATGGGATCCTTCTGGACCCCAGGAGTATTTAGGGAGTACAGTGATTGGGGGGCTACTCGCCCCTCCTAACATCATGAAACCGCGCAGTCAACAAGAATGTTGGACAGCAAGCAGCCGGCAGGACGCTCCGAACCTTGAGGAGACTCCAATCTTCCACTCCCCAAAATGAACACACCTTCAGAAAGGGCCCTACAGACATTGCCCTTCTAAACGGAGCTCTTCTAAACTTCCGTGCTGGCTTAGGAGCTGGCAAACACTGAGACCATATGCTTTTGCATCATGACGTTGTATCCTGTGCTTAGCATGCGCGTAGCACCTTTAACACAAAAATCACTCAAGCCACAAGCCCACACTTCTGAAGCTCTGCTGTCTGAGCCCATTTGAGCTATGGTCTAAACTCCTAGCATAACCTCTACAGGGGTCCCTATATAATCCCCAAAATGAACCCCTTTCAGGATTTTAGACTCTAGTTCATTTAGGCTTGGGGTGAATGATTATGCTTAGAAAAAGAGTATGAGGGAATTATATTGGTAGTTGTTCAGGCTTCTAGGGTGTCTCCCTATTTCGGGAAACGACCATATACGTACATGTAGGGATGGAAAAGGAAATGGACACTGCTATGCAAAGTTAAGGGCTAGGGTTTAGGGATATGTGGGGGGGCATAGAAATATACGGGGTGTAAGGTAAAATGCAGACTCAAATTAAAAAGAGACCCGAAAATGAAATGGGAGCTTGGCGTATACAAACCCTTTTTCTGGGGACCCCCAAAGAAGTACACCTAATTCTGGGAAACCCCCATATGAGCTATAGTCTAAACTCATAGCATCCCCCTTAATAACCCCTGTCGTAGTCCCCTATATCATCCCCTATATAACCCCTTTAAGGAGTTTAGATTAAAGTACACATCCCTAAATGGTACATCCCTAAACCCTAAACCCTACATCTAGAAATTCAGTCTGCCTCCTCAGTGGCGGTGGACGGAAGTCCCTGGCCAGAAACAGTGGGGTGCTGCGCAATCATTGATGTGGGTGCATGTCAAAATTATGGTCCCTTTCTGGGTACCCTAAATATTAGGTGCCGTATTATAATAGGGACCCAAAAAGGGACCATGATTTTGACAACCACCCATGTAGCTAACAATAAGTACCAATAATCAAGAATCAAGAGCGTTTCCATGTTCTTTTCCATTCCTGATTCTGTGCTAACCAGTGGTAAGGGTTTGGCAGATGATTTCTGGTGCGTGTCGCCTCAGGCATCCAGTAAGGGCGCCCTGAGTTGAAACCAAAAGCTAACCTGTTCCTACACAGAGTGCCCACACATCGTAGGTTTGCGAAACTCCTACCCTGCATTACAGACCCACGCAGTAAGATACCAAGGGCCCTTAAACCCTAAAACCCTAAAATCCTTAACCCTAAACGGTAGTTTCTCTTCTATTGTCCATCATCCCAATATAGCCCCAATATATCCTCTATATACCACCTATCCCCAAAAGATTTTTACCTTGGCATTCTGCGAAGCTTCTTCCGAAACCATGGTGGAGGCCTTCACCATGATGGCAAAGTCGTTGGGGGAGATCGTACCTCGAAGCCAGGGGTTTCGGGTTCTGGGGTTTAGGGTTTAGGCCGTCCACTGGCTTCTCACGTTAACGGCATGTCCACCATTCTGCACCCAAATTGCGCGAGGGGAGTTTCCCTTGCGGGTACTTCAGATGTGGTTTTTTGGGGGCTCGAAGCCAGAAATATGTTGCTTAATTTTCTTGATTGAAGTAGCTTTATTTTTTTTGCTTGTGAGGCCGTCCTGACATTACGGGTGGTAGAGGTCCTCATGAAGGGGAGGAGCCATCAGAGGGATTCTCATAGGATTCTCCACCGATGATTCTGGGTGGCCTGCGGCTTCACAAGTCCCCCGTGCGCTCCACAAACTAAGAACATGAATGTGGTTCTCAGTTTTGTGGTGTCCGTTGAAAGCCTTCAACACCAAGATCCGTGTATTCTGGTGTATGCCTGGAAGCAGTCCAAAATTGAAAGCTATCAACCCTAAACCCTGTGAACACCAAACCCTGACAGAGAGGATGTTGAGAGCTGGTCTTTTCATCTCCCTAAACCCTAAACCCTAAACCCCTATGGTCTTTTCATCTCCCCGCGCCCGAGAGTACTGCAACAATCTTTGCACAGAGAAATCTACAGACCCCTGGGTGATCTGCAGTCTGCAGGGTATATAGGATGTGTGTGGTAGGGTTATATAGGGTTATATAGGGTTCTATAGGGTTATATAGGGTTCTATAGGGTTATATAGGGTTCTATAGGGTTATATAGGGGCTATGTAGGGTTATATCGGGATAGTGGAGAGGAAAATGCAATCTACTGTTGGGGTTTAGCACCTAGGGTTTAGGGATATGACCCCGATGATGGAGAATCAGATGGAAAAGAGAATGGAAAATGAAATGGCAGCTACTGTACATAGGGCTGTACAGGGATTGTATGGTAGTTTCCCAAAACATAGGGGGGACCCCAATATAAGCCCCGAAATACTAAAGTCCTTATTACAGGGATTCTCCCAAAAAGGTACCCCAGATTTTGGGAGATCCCCACATAAACCATGAAGATGCTCTACGGGTTGTAAAGGTTTTTTGGCATTCCGCAAAACTTGGGTTTAGGGTTCAGGGTTT